GTTTGTCTCAGTCTTCTTAATATATTTTTTTTTAGAATCTCTTAAAAGCCATATTCTTTCGGCCACAATAAACATGATGGTGTTCATCAAGAATTATCATCTTGTTCTTTACAAGATTCATTGGGTTATATAGTCTTCAAGTGATGTTTTTGTTATCGACTTTGTGTTTTTTAAGGCTCGTATGTACCTTTCAGTGAACAAAACACAAACCTTTGACTTGACCTGATCCTTCAACTGTCACAAAAAAATTACCATCTAAAAAAAAATGAAAAGTTCCCTTCTCTTCGTTTTGTTATTCGCTCTCATTGCGTTCCAATGTTTTTCCTCTTCCGGAATTGAATCAGTGAATGCTTCTCTCAAGCCGCAATCTCGAATGCGTGGAGTGAAAGAATTGACTTCTCGTAATTTTAATTCGTATATTCAAAGACATAAATATGTTCTTGTTGAATTTTATGCTCCAGTAGGTTTTTCAGTAGTTGAATTGATATTGGTGATGATTGGATATTGAAACGTTTGCGGATGGTATCTTGTTGTATGATGCGTCATCCTTTTGAAAATATTTTATGGATCTCTTTCGTGGTGTCACATGTCATTTCACTCTCTTTCAACAATATGATCTCTGCAACAACATCGCATTTGGTTTTTACGACATCATCATCCTTCAATATTTGATATTATCTGTTGTATCGTTACAATAATTACAACACCATCAATAATCAACATTCTCCAGTGGTGTCCACATTCAATTGAAAATTCTCGCAACATCAAACGTCTCGGAAGAAAACTTTTAGGTTCTCGAAAATTCAAAGTTGCCAAGATTAATGGTTATCGATACAATTCCATTGCCAAACAAGTGAGTTTAGATGGATTTCCAACTGTTTATCTTTTTGTGAATGGAAAGAAAGTTGAATATAAGGGTTATTCATTGGCTCCTCGTAAGGTGATCAAATGGGCTCGTAAACAAGTGAAACAATAAAGAGTTTACTGTTGTGTTGCTGTGAGCCTGAACGGACTCATTAAAATAGGACAAGTATTTTGAAATGTTTGAAATGTGCAATTTGATCGATTCAACTTTTTAGGGGTCGAGTGTCAAATGTCTTTCCGGCATTGAAATTTCTTGGGAGAGAACTGTGTGCACCAAATTTTGTTTTCATGCATGAAAAAGTTTCGAAAGGGAAATTGAAAACAAAATGAAGGTCTCTGAAGATCTCACCCAACAGACACAGCAACCGACATGGTCCAACACCAACAATACCAACCGTGTGACTCTCAACAACAACCCATTATTGTCTTCTCCCACCAATTCCAATGAAAGTGTGAGTCCACTCTCAACGGAACCTCTTTGTGTTTCGTCTGCATGTTCGATTCATGACTTGCCACCTCCATTATCCATTCCGTACCTTCCAACACTGATGCAAGCAACATCACAAAACATTTCGTCTTTTTCTACCTGTTCACAAATTCAGTTATTGCATCAGAATGCAACAGCACCTGGTGAAGTATTGGTTGTGTCGGAAAATGAAACACTGTCTCAAATTAATTGTATCTCAGGTCAAGAAATTTCGAACGCAATTCAAATGGAGGCAGACGCCTCCCAGGAAGACTCATTTGGAATTATCGATTTTCCAATGACATATGAACGTTCGAACCATGTTAATGACATGCAATACGTGACACAGAAAAAAGTGAATAGTGACAGTCTGTCACTCCTCATGATGCAACATTTACCACCTTGTTGCATTCAATTCGGAAAATGTTCAACCATCACTTGTTCCATTTGTATTTCACTCTTGATAGCTCTGGCATGCATTGCTTTCTTTGTCGTCAGTGTTTATATTTATGTTCGAGTCGATGTTGGCAATTTTAATATTCCAAGAAGAGGAACCTTATTGACCATACAGTGCAATGAAACCACAGCGCTTTGTAGAGGAGTAATACGAATAGATGCTTCTTCCACTGGTGATCAAACACAACCACCACCTCCTGACAACGGTGTGGATGACAAACCAATAGTTGGAATATTTGAAATCTCAAATACTGTTCTGGATGGAAAGACAGTAACCAGTGAAGACGAATATCCATACGACTGCAATGTTTGGAATGATGCAAAACGAGGAATATATTCCATATCATGCTATTTCAATAAGAATCTGTCGAAAATGACGTTGTATCCAGTAGTGAATTTTGATGATCAAGCTCTATTGATAAGTTCTTGTGTCATGATTGTGTTTATACCGTTATTGTGTTTGTTACAGAATTTGCTTGTGATTCGATGGCTTTGTTGTGGTAATATTCATTGTAATAAGAATAAACAAAATTACTCTTCCTCTTAAAAAAGTATTGTGAAACACAATCATCCACAACGGAGACGAGTACTTGTAATTTTCAAAGAGTATATGCAAACAGTAAAATGTAGGGGAATAATATTTACAGCAGCTGTTTGTTTTTTTCATCATGAACAATCTTCTTGTTGATCAATTCACATAATGCATCAAGTCATCACCTTCCAAATAATCCGAATCATGTTCTTGTAAAGACTCAGCATTCACATGTTGAACCTTTGATGGTGCTACTGGTGAATAAGTCAAAACTTCATCATCCAAATCCACTTCATCATCTTTCCGCTCGGGTTCTTTAATTCCTAATTTTCTCCTCATATCGGCCAATGCTTTTGTTATAAACTCCAAATCACTCTTCATTTCTTTCAACATGAATTGATGAATTTGAAAATCTTTTTGAATATTCGGTAATTCATTGGTACACTTTGAATTGATCCGTTGAAGGTCTTCATTGGTTTGTCGCATGGTTTTGAAGGCTTCCGCTTGTTTTTGTTGAATGATTTCCATATCACTCGGATGAAGAGCCGCTTTCATGATACTATCAATAAATAAATGACTTATGGATGGCGTTGTTGATGATGATGAAGGATCGACTTTGGAGTGTGTCGACGTTGATGGATCCATTTTTTGTTGTTATTTATTTAAATTTGTCAATCAATATTGATGAACAGAAATTCATAAGTTGTTTCAAACGCCACAAGTCATTTATTCACGCTTTTGTAGATATGAGTCACTCACCAAGTGAAGTGGAGAAATGAATCTCTGACATCAACGAGTGTTGTTCTTGTAAAAGATTTCCCAACTTGCATTCCCAAACAAAAATCTGTAACTATTCCTCGTCTTTTGACATGTTCGTAAACAATTTCTGGATTTAAATTAATAGTTTCATAAATGTATATGTTGTCCAGAACGTGTGGAGTCGCCTTCACACATTCCAAAATGAAATTTGAATCTTGTTTCAACTCCATTGACACACATTTTGCGAATAGTCCTTCTGGGTAGAAAAGCCATGAATCAGGAGAAACAGTCTGACGAATTACTGTCAAAATTAAATCTCTATCGTTTTTACAATCGTCAGGTATGTTATCTAAAAATTTACTATCCCTTCTTATGGCAGCTATTGTCACCTCTCGATCCTTTTTTTCTAGAAATGTTTGAACAAGGGATGTTCGTATCTCGAATTCATTATTGTGTTTTCTAATACCGTTAATATGCAGTCTTTGTCATCTTGAAATCGTTGAGGAATGTCATCCAAAGAGCATGAATTTCGACTAGCAAGGGCGTTCAAAATCACTTCTTTGTCTTCATGAAATTTTGAAGGCACAACATAACTCTCATCTCCATTCTTTTTGAATAATAACATTCCTGCATGATGCATTGTTTTCAAAACAATTTCTCGATCATTTCACAGCTTTCAATACAAAGTTTCTGTCCTTCCTCAAACAATCCGGACCATATTTAAGAACAAGTGGCAGATCAGGACGTTTCAAAATTGATTTTCCATATTTCATCCAAAGTTGATCATAATCCATATAAATTCGAGTCATCACTTGTTCAACTGTTTTGGCGAAGTTTTGATCGTTTGTGAGGGTGTTTTTTTTCATATAATGAACGTGTGAACTTTCCTGGTCGAGTTAGATGGTTGCATTGGTAAGTTCTATGTGCTTGATACCATTCGTCGGGTAATTCGTTCAGAGTTTGAAATATTGGTTTTATCATCTCTTTTTTAAAGCCCCAACATGATACATCTTTGAAGAAAAGTTGTAGATGAATCTACTTTTTGATCTCCATTGGCAATTTGTCATAAACTGTTAACGGTATTCGTTGATAAATTTCTGGAATGCATGTATGAATTATGTCTTCTCGAACTTTTCCATCAACAACGATCCGAGAAGTGTTGATCAATTCAACAATAAATTCCTTATCATTCTGATATTCTTCTGGAATTCTATTAAACACGTCAGGGTTCGAACGAACAACATCCAGACAGAATGTTCTATCGTTTTTCAATCGTGTAGATGCCTTTGTAAAATTTTCAGGATTACATTGAATCTTCACTTTCTTCATTTTTTTTGTGCCAATTTCTAATTAAGGAATAAATATGTTCGTGCTCATGCATCTTGGAGACAGTATTGATGATCCATCTTGTTGGAACGAAGGTTGAATTGATGATAATATTGTTTCCTCGTAGGCAAGAAGTTGGCCCATCTTATTCGATAAATTTTCGCTCAAATCTCTCAGAGTGGAATTTCTTTTTTGAGACAAGAGACCATGTTCATTAAGCATTTATAAAGTCTTTCCAATGTTTTGCATTTATTACTTTGTACTTGAAAATTCCAAGTGTTCTTTGTTATACTCAGTCGACTGAATTCTGTTTTTTCTGAAGTTGCAAGCCCCCTTTTAATCCTCATTTCTTCATTTGCCTTATTCCATAAATGACAAGACAAAATGAGTTTTTTTCTCATGAGAGGGGAACTTGATTCCATTTCTCGGTATCATTCTTTTTCTTGACTTGAATATCAAACTCTCATTCCGTTCCATTCAAAACAAAACAAAATGAATGCAGCAAATTGGAATTATCATTCAAATCAGTTTCAGGTTCAACTTTGTACTCGTGTCAACTGTCATTAAGATTGGCGCCTTTGTTTAAAAAAAAATTAACAATCATCACATTCAATAGTTCTTTCATCTCATTTGAATCATTTGAACAGCCCAGCATCCAAACACTTCTCTCATCCAATAGTGGAATAAATCCACAAATTTCGGACCCGAAACCTTTCCAATTATCACCCACATCATCACAACAATTTTAATCATTCGTATGGGATCCAAAGTGAGTCGAATTTCAGGTGGAGGTGCTGCTGCTACTCCTGGAACATGGTCTGCCACCTTTCACAACAACAACAACAACATGAATGCTCACACTGTCACTCACTCGGCCGATTCATTACCTTCTTCTACTTCTTCCAATCCAATGACCACCGAAAACACCTCCAACACCACCTCCAATAACCATAACAACAACACAATGACCACAACTTGTACAACTGACACTGTTTCATCAGACATTTTGATGGATGAAGAAATGTATGCTGCTTTGATTAATCATGCGAATTTGAATGCTCCGATGCATTTACCACCTTCTCAGAGAGTCGTTTATTCAAAAATTAAGCAATGTATATTATTTGAAGATATTCACAATGATGAATATATTATGGAACGATATTCCATGTGTTTATCGGATCCTAAAGCCATGTTGGATACTTATTTGAATTTAGATAATACCATCACCAAACAATGGGATGAACGTGTGAAATTATTGGAACAAGAACAATTCAATACTGCTACTACTACTATTACTGCATCTTGTATGAATGATCAAAATCATCAAGTTGTGACAAGTTCATGTGAGGGACACGTCAATGGTAGTGAGACACATCTCTCCACTCCAAATGAACAAAAAGCTCAACCAACAAGTGTCACCACCAATGCAAAGAATATGCATTTATTTTCTCCTCAATTTTATGAATTAATTACAAGTGCAAAAAAAAGTCAAACCATTTTGGAAGAGGAAGGGGGAGATGAAGTGAAAAAAGTGTTAAATTTTGATATTGGACTTTCACAACTTTCATTGTCAACGACGGATGGAGGAAATCATCAAGTCATTGCTCGAGTTTTTGAAGATTTAATTCATGGAGAGGATGATTTGAAATCTTGTCCATCGACACCACCTCATTCCGTGTTCACACCTTCCAATAAGCATCTTGCCGTGGATGAAACCATTCAACAACAACAACAACAACAACACCACTCTGGCAATATTTCATCCGAAAAGAAGGAAGTCAAATGGTCTAGTGATATTGTTGTGACCACAGAGTCACCAGCATCATCAACTCCTCACAAAAAAGCTTTAAATTCTCCATCATTGGATATTGGTGGTCCACATCAACCATCAACCATTATTGAAAATGATTCATTAATTGCAACATCACCACCACCATCTACTCATGTAGTATTATCTTCTTCAACACTCCACACGTATTCCACACCAACACAGCCACCACCTTCACTCAGCAGTCAACAACAACCATTTCATTCAACTCCAACACCCAAATCAAATCATCTGACAAGAAGTAGTGCTGTCACTGACATTCCAATCATGAATACTTTTGAAGGAACAAGTGCCATGGTTGGAACTTCCAATGGTGGAGTTGCAATTTCAAATTCTGAACTTGTCACAAACACTCAAAACTCTCTCACTGGTACTCTTTCTGAAGAAGATAGTTTGAGAGATTGGTGGGTCTCGAATCCAACTTTGGAAAAATCCATCAAAATCAAACTCATTGTCACAGACATGCATCATCATAACAAGACCAAACAAACGATTCGTCAAATCATCAGTCCTTTATTATCTCCTTCAACCATTCTTCCTGCTTTTGGAATGTTTCACACAGCACTTGTCATTTCAGAATTTAAGCTTGAGTGGACCGATAGCTCACTTTGTATACCTCGTAAATTAACATCTCAATCAAGTTTTTTCTCTGCGGATATTGAGGAAATAACGACCGCTAGTGACTTGGAAGACATTGTGAAAAAAATTGCTCAAGTGATTTGTCGATGGAATTCGACCATGATTTACAGTGAAAGGAGAAGAAAGAAGAAAAAGAAGAATTCAACCAAATCGACCTCTCTTAAAAATTATCCAAATACGGGTAATTGTCAGGATTTTATTTTTGATATTTTAGAAAGCATTGGAAAGAAAGATGTGTTGGAAAAATTAATGAGTAGTGACTCTCCTATGGGACATTACATGAGAGACATGCGAAAATATGGTCGTTGTTCCATGGAACTCAAAATGAACCATCTATTTAGAGACAAATTTGGAATTAAGGAAAAAGTGGTAAAATTTGCGACTCATCGTGATTTGGATCTCTTTGTCAAACAATTGGAACATGTCGATCCCGATTTCAAACATACACACAAAAACGAATGGATTCTTCTCAAAGGTTTTGATCGAGCATTTTGGATTCGATATTTAGCTTACAAAGATAAGGAAGAATTACGACCACTCTATGAAAAACAAGAAAATGTGTTTGACATGACCGATTTGGATATGAGTGTCGATGATTCATGTATGATAGCTTCATCTTCGTCGAATCATCGATATTGTGAAATTTTGGCATGTCCATTTGATGATCCAACCAAATCACTTTCCATTATTTTAAAACCTTAATAAATTATAGTTTTTTATCGTCAACAACAGCAACTTTCGAGAGAAGAACAAAGTAGTTTTGGAAATTCGTAATTGTTTAAAGGCTGAGATGTGATTTAATTTCGTTTTTTAGATTCACTGGTGAGTAAGGCCAATACGACTCGATCCGCGTACTTTTCAATCCATCTCTTTCTCAAATAGGCAATCACAAAGAAAGTGACAAAATGTACAATGGCAGGAATGAGGCATGCGTATTTGAATACATCCACGACCATTCGACTATACACTTGAACTGGATCAAAAATTATTCTCCAAATAGTGGCGAATACTAATTGCATTCCTAAATTATACACAATATAGAGAATAGAATTCGAAGTGCAAAAGTTGTAATTTTCGTCAACGAATTCTCTAATGTTTAAAAGCACAAAAATCCAAATGAAGAATGGAGGAACAAAGTGAACAAAGATAAAACCAAAACTCCACTATATATGATTTTCCATTACAAAATCAAGATGTTTTTCCAAGTTTGGAAAATAAGGTTTTCTGAAAAAAACATACCGATGCCAAATTGTAATACAAATAAGAAAAATTTGAAATGAGCATAAAACCAATAGCTGGACACAGAACATAAAAGAGACAAAATCTTCTCAACCATCGCATTCTCTTGATGGTTGTACACACAATGAAGAATGTCATGACCACATAACTCCTGTCAACAGTTATGACATGTCATTCATTTATGGAATATTTCAATAATAAGAAAATGTTCTAAATCATTACACACACACTTACCAAAAACACATATAAGTCCAATATCCCTCATAATTAACATATGGAATATAAACCAACAAGACCATCAAGGAAACCAAATAATGAAAAATTTCAAAAATCTTTCTCCACACATTTCTTTCATCTTCTTTTCGAAATACTCGATAACTCATGTCCACAAATTTTCGATCAAATTTCAATCGATCCATTTGTTCTTGTCCTTCTTCTGGTGAGGATGACATTTTTAAATGAGTTCTAACGTTGTTTGTAAAGTTATTGGCAATGTCAAGAGTGTCACTGTTTGAAGAATTTTCGGAAAATGATTCTTGTGAATTGTTTTTAAAATGTTCCTTTTCTAAATATTTCTTCTTGACGCGTTGAAAAATCTCCTTGTCATTCACTCGGAATAAATAATTGGTCAATGGTCTCAATATCAAATAATAAAGTGTGACCAACAACATGACAAATGTCACAGTACCAACAATGGCCTTGCTTCCACTTTCCGAATGATCAGAAAAGAGAGATTATGGAAAAACAATTTAAATAAAATTTTGGAAGTGATAGAATGATTTTAAAAATTAAATTCGGAATGGAAGAGTGTGTTTCAAGACACAGTTTGAGTGTTTCTATAAATGGTAAATTTATGATGTGTGTGAAATCGAGATTTTCTGAATCCTGAAAGAATGTTTCAACAATTCTTTCATTGAGAAATTGTGTGAGATTGGTCAAGACGACTTGTGTATCGAAACCGTGATAACCGGGTGTCAGTGTGGATGACATTTTTTTGATGATTCCTTTTCTGGAACTGTGGCAGCCAACTGGTCCAGCGTTCGAATGCCAGGGGTTGCTGCTGTTATCGTGAGCAGTTTAAACACCTTTACTTCCGGGGTGCCTGCTAGGAAGTCACTACGTATCTTACGTTCGGCTTGTAAATAATGTACATAAAACCATCGAACAACGTTTATCATCGAATAAACCCATCCCTGAATTTTTTTGATGATTCCAAAAAAGACAAAACATCAAAGTGCTATTAATAATTATCAAAACCATTTCATCATCATTCTCGATACCCGTATGTCAAAAGATTCGGAATTTATTGAGAGAATCTTTTAATTTTTTTTGATTTTGATTTCAATTACCTGATAATTTCACAAACTTTGAGTATGGATGGCAGGTAATGGCTGGTTATTCAAACACTAAAAACAACAGCACAATGCTGTAAATGCTCTCAAGTATTGGATTCCATGGGATCTCACGGTTTCTCTTAGTATTCATCAAGATAATAAAGCACTACTAGAACTTGTCAATTTTTTGATTGAGTTTACCTGGTAATTTCACAAACTTTGAGTATGGATGGCAGGTAATGGCAGGTTACTCAAACACTAAAAACAACAGCACAATGCTGTAAATGCTCTCAAGTATTGGATTCCATGGGGTCTCTTTTAATTCATCAAGATAATAGGCTATTTTGTTCAGTAGTAAATTATTATTATTTTTAAACAAATCCTGGTTGCCATCTGGTGAAAGTGTCAGGTAAATGTAAATACAAAATGTGTAAAAGTGTTGCGATAAGTGTAATGTTGATTGTATTTATCATATCAAGCAAGAGCTGGCACTTCATCCGAGAAGCAAATTTAGTCGTTCATCACAGCAAATAAAAACCGCTGAATCATTTGAGGCTTTTTTTTTGAATATTTTATTGTGATTTTGTTGTTTGCTGGTTTGTGTGACCTGGAGCCGCACAACAAGACATACAAAAATCGAGTTGTTGAATCTTTTGAAATAAATAATTGCGATTCTCAAAAGTTAATCCACCTCCCATCTTGGAAGATATTATAAATCTCAAACTAATTTTGATGATTCCACCTTTCAATGGTCACTGAGGATTTATTTTTTATTTTAATTTTACAAAATCTCCTCATGGTCGTTTGGCATTGCATGATAATTCGAGGAGACTGATCCTTCTCCTAACAATTCAATTTCATGTCCAACATTCATAATTTCCATTTTTGGAGGTGTTCGTTTGGGTGGCGTATTCGAATTTGTGTTTTGTGAAAATTTTAAACCTTCCATTTCTTGTTTCATATTTGTTAATTTTCTATGAATCGTTTTAAAGGTGGGACGATCATTGACATCTCCACTCCAACATAATCTCATTAAATCAATATACTCATTGACAATTGACAGAATTTGACTTTTTCTTAATTCGAGAGTCATGATGGATGTTTTTTGATTTTTCGGTGTTTGATTATATTCTGGCATAAATTTTTCCAAATACATGCTCGTTTCTTCTGGTGTAGAAAATGGAATCAAAGGTCGTTCTCCACGCATGACTTTTGACAGGATGGTAAAAGGTGTCACTGGAGTTTGATTGGAATGTCCATTTCTATTTTTTCCATTTTGTAATGATGATGAATCCATTCGATTCGATGTAGAACGATTCAATACTGCAAATAATTTCGATGTTTTGGGATAGACATATGGATTTTCTTCAAAGAATATTTCCCACATGATAATTGAAAAGCTATAAACATCAATGGCTGGAGAAAAGGAAGGATCTTCAGTGTTCAATAATTCTAGAGCCTTTTTGTGTGAAATTATGGAATGAAATGTTGAGAAATTATTCAATGAATGGTTCATCATGTGAAATTATCATTCATAGTGGTATTTGTATTTGAAAAATGTTAGAAAAATCATTTTGAAGTCGAATCATTCATTGAAACACTCAATCTGAGAATGACTAAACATACCATGTAAAATAAAGTACCCACACACATGGTGGTTGTATCAATACAAGTATTGGTCATCATTCGAGAAAGTCCAAAATCACAAACTTTTGCCATTCCATTGGCGTCTTTGTTGACATATAGGCATTTCAAGTCGAAATTGAAATGTTCACATTCATTAAATGATTTCAATACATACCTAGTAGAATATTTGCTGGTTTTAAATCTCTAAAGTCCAGATTCAGAGTTGAAAGAATTGTGTCATATTAAATATTACCAAATTTAGACGCCACCAAACACTTACCTATGAATAATTGGCGATGGTTTGAGAGAATGTAAATAATCCATGCCACAAGCGACATCAATTAAAATTCCTATCTTTGTACAAAAATCAATGGGTGATGGATTTTCCTTTCTTCGAACTTCATGAATCAATTTTTCAAGACTTCCTCTTTCTAAATATTCAACAACGAGATAGTGTTTTTGTGGAGTAATTGCAGCTCCGTAAAATAAAAGAACATTTGGATGTCTTAATCGACAGAGCAATGAAGCCTCCTTTTCAATATCATCTGAATGAGCAGCAGCAGAATCCACTCTTAGACATTTGACAGCTACTGTATTGTGATGCCATTTTCCTAAATAAACGACTCCACATCCACCTAATATTGTTTTCAATGAAAAAATATTTTTCCAATTGTGAACCATTGAATGTCACTCTCAAGTTCAAGTTCAACCCTATTATGACTTACCTTCTCCAATCTTTTTATCAATAAATATTTGATCCAGCCCAATAATAAATCCCCTCTTAGATTTTGTAATGCTGTTGCTGTTAGAGCTTTCCATCGCTTGTCTTTCTTCATCAGAATAAATGACTTGATTTTCAAGTAGACGCTTTTCCATTTCCTTTTCTGCTTGATCTCTTTTTCTCCAATACTGAACTTTCTTTGCCACCTTGCAACTTACATAACCTACCACAATGACAATTGACATAAATATTGAAAATGAAGCAATGGTGGATGCAATCACAATGGCAACAATGCTTCCAATAGAGATATGCTCCTTACAAATAAATTCATAATCTGAGTTGTAAGCTGCAGGAACTAGATCAAACTGATAGGGACATTGAATTAAATCAAGTGGAATGGTGATTGAGCTTTCAAAAAATGTCACTGTGAAAGAAGTGGGAATACTGGATAATGAGCTCGATTGATTCACAGAGAGATACATGTTTTCAAGTGATCTACTTTTTCCATAAATTCGAATTCGGAAATCTTCCATTATAATTGCAAATTCCTCCGTTAAGGATCCAATTTCATTTCCAAATATGTCCTTAGAGGTAGGTTGCAAGGAGAATAATTGACCAGGATATAACCTTACTCCCTGTTGGGCCGAGTAGGTATCTGTTGAGCCTTTGATTTGATAGACCCATTGAGTTGTCTTGATTGGAGAGGCCATGTTGTGACCATAGGTTCCAGCCATGTTGTTGTTAATGTTTTGAAATTGTGGAATTTCATGAGGACGAAAACCAAAGTAGAAAATTCCTCCTCCTGCATAAAGGGCTGCATTATTGACAATTGTCACATCTTCCAAGTCATGAAAGGTACAATTTGTAAGTCCAATGGCACCTCCTCTCACTGCTCGATTGTCCATAAATGTCACATTAATCATTTTGAATTGTTTATCCACAGACGGAACGTTCAAAAAAAGCGCTCCTCCTGTTCCGTCACAACTCTCTTTTCCACACAGGCTGATCGTTTGTGACAGTATTGAATTATTTCGTAGAGAAGAACGGATCATAGCCAAAGTATTTGCACCATAAATTGCTCCTCCTCCAGAAATAGCAGTATTTCCATAAAATTCACTTCCTTCAATATAAGTGAAGGCGGTTGTGTATAATGCTCCACCGCTCATCATGGCCGAGTTTTCGAGTAATTTACAAAATACGACATCAATGCTTGCTTTTTCTGCTCGAATCGCTCCGCCCTTACCAAGTGCCTTATTTCTCAAAAAGGTGGATGAAGAAATTTGTGTCAAAGCGGACCTTACTTCTGAAAATTTGTAAGTGAGAGCTCCTCCATCTGTAAATGATTCATTCTCTATAAATTCTGAGAAAGTAACAGAACCTGAGAGTACGCTATCTAATACGAGTGAAGATTCCATGGCAATATTTCTAATAAATTGTGAACTCAATAAATTGACATTTCTGCAATTTTTCAGATGCACAATTCCTCCATTTTGTGGATTATAATTATTGGTAACCTTCAATTCATTCATCACCACGTCAATGCATTGTTCAATTCTTAGAACAGTTTTTCCAACACATCGATCGATCGTTGTTAAATTAATACTAACAAATCGTGAGTATGAAATTGTGAGAAACGGGAAAACATTCAATTCTTGACTCATTGAACAAGATATTGACGAATTCATAACCACCACTTGTCCAGGTTCTTCTACATCCACAGAATCCAATAAATAAAACTGAGAATTTACAACCCATACTCTATTTTGTGAAGGAATAAAAAAGTTCGCCATGTGAATGGTTGAATTATAGAGAATCAAAGCTCTCGCTCTGTATGTATAGGAATAGGTCACTCTTGGTATCAGCGATCGGTAATTTCTTAAAAATATTATTTCTCCTTCAAAATCAATTTCTCCCTTATTGACGACATTCACGAGTGCACTAAAAAAGTTCGAAGGAAGCCTCAAGAATCCACCAAGATCGCAATCAATCACTACAGCTGGTCCTTGAGGCATTATAAAATTTCTCACATGAAAATTTTGAAGTGTGAAGGAAAAATTCTTTACATGAGTTTCAAAAAATCCACGCATGCCACAATCAACGGTTGGAGTTGGCTCTTTGCCCACAAATTTCATGTGCATGTAAAGTTTTCGTGTTAAATTCTGATTGACAAAATCCAATGAAAATGATTGACAGGAATCTGGTGGAATGTCCGAATAGACATGAATTTCAAACAATGCCACAGTCTTGTCTAGAATGGCTCCCAAATTTTCTTTTCGTCGTTGCATTTCTTCATTAAAATCGTTATTAATTTTTGTAAAAAGTTCTCTAATTGAGGAATAGTAAGGTTGTGGAGGTGGTGGTTGTGACGATGCTGAATTATTCCAATAATATCGATATTTGAACTTGAATGTGTCACACCAAGGTAAGCTTTTGCATTCATCAAAATCATCTTGTGCCATATTTAATGAAATATTTGTGAGCACTTCAATTTGTTGTTCGACCAGATGTGAAACTGCAGTTGAATAGGAATCAAGATATGGAAATGAAATTCTTTTGAATGGAGAAGTATGCATGGGCTCTGTTAAATCATCATCAGAACCTACTAGAGGATCATCTTGAACATTAAGATTGTCACTCCAAGAATTCCTCGTTGTCATATTTTTCCTTCGACGACGACGAAAAACGTCATTATTCAAACTCGTGTCATCATTTTTGTAATCCATTTCGTTCCAGGCAGTCGACGGAGTGGTGGTGATGGCTGCTGTGGATGGAAATGCAAGGACCATCCATATGATCCCATCATTCAAGTGACACTTTTTGAAAAACTCTCCATGTGATTCATAATAATGATGTTTGACATCAATGAGGAACATTATTCGCATGGAGAGCGAGTGCAACAAACAAGTCAAGAGTAAAACGCATAAGAAGAAGAGGGTGATGGAATACGATCGGGAGTGATGATGACGACTATGATGTGGGTTAGAATGAACATTTAAATAATTAAATATTAATTGTGATGATGATGGTGATGGAGGATGGATCGAATGAGTTTTTTGAACATTTGGAGGTAGATGACAACAAGAAAGGTCGTCGGACTGATCGAATCGTGTTGTCGAAATTTTGGAGTTTGAATCAAAAAGTGGCCATGTGGAGAATGAAATTGTTTTCTCCTCCGTCATGATGACAAGCCAAGTTCTACAGATTGTTGATCTCTCTGGAGGCTCCAGTACGTAGGTGGAATGGAACAGTTATGTGTTGTTGTTTCTTGTTGTTTTAAACACTTGTGTGAGACAAGCAATTTTTTGAACGGTATTTTGAGCGAGAAAAATCTGTGGGTTTGTGACAGGTCGAGGTCACTTGCCGACTTTCTAAATTTCAACAGAGAATTGACTCAATTTCTTCTCAGATATTTGGTCAGAAAGGAAAGTTTAATTTTCACTTCTCACATGTAATTAATGGAACAGCAGAACTCAATCACTTATTCATCGGTTGATGCTCCCGTGTCGAGAGATGGGAGTGGAGGGAATTCTTCATCAGTGAATGACACTCTTTTTTGTTTTGGAGCTGAATGGTTGACGGTCTCACAACCGGTTGGGCTAAGATTTTTGGCATTAATGTTCTGATTGACTTTGGCTTGGATGTCATTTGTGTATTCCTTCGATCCCCTATTGGCAAATTTTGACTCTAAACCTCTTGCCCTTACGAAGTTACCACCAATGATTCTTTGTTTGGGTTGAGCATTGCCCGTTGGACCATTGGTTGTAGGAGATACATTGGAGACTGGAGATACTGGACTCGACGTATTCGTGGTGGTAGCGGCAGCACTTGTGGTTTCTCCATTTGGTGACAAGGTTCTTGAAGAACTGACAATATTAGGAGATACATTCACTTTCTTTCCTTGAAGGTCTTCTGGTTGTTCAACATTTTCATCTTTTTCGAGTATTGAGGATGGTTTGATAGTTTCAGCACCAGACAACACGTGATCATAATTGATAATGTGTTGTAATGGCAATAGACAAGTATTGAACTCGTTGGAAATAAATTGTTTCACTCCCAATACACGATCTTCTTGCTTTGAATCAATTTTTGCAGGAATTCCCAACACCACATCTCGAATGAAGTGATAAGAGATGGAGACAATCAAAAGGAATGAGACTAATTGAGGTAACATGGAACTTGCTTGGAATTGTGAAGAGATGAGTCCAACGCTGGCATAATTTGATGGTTCTTTCACAATAGTCTCCAATATTTTGTTATCTAGTGATGTTCTACGAATTGACATTTCAAGTGAATTCAAAAAACTAGGAATAAAATCAATCCAATCAAATACTGCTTGTTTCAATGATACAAGGACATTTGAGAAGAAGAGAAGCAATACACAATACCAATAGGTCAACATTCTTGTCTCTCTTCTATCTGCCTTGTTATACAACATGGAACAAAATGGGAACATGACAAGTGGCACGTGGATGATCCATTGCATCAACGTGATGAGTTTGGAAGTTGAAATTGATAAAATCGATGTCAATTTTGAATTATTTTCAAATCCTATCGAAAATGATATTACTAGCTGTTTAAAATCCCTAGTTTCAGTTAATGGTGATAATGATGGAGAATATGTGATTGATGCTATGAAAGCAGGTAACAATACAGGAAATATCAGTTGACTGATGAAGGCAATCACCAACGTATAATATACAAGAGTCCGTATGGTTACGGAAGTTGAAGGAGTGCTAATTTTTGGTGTTGTTGTAGTTTGTACAGTGGTAGCACGCTCCACCACTTGTACTTGTTCGAGTAACCATCGTTTCTCTCTCAATAACGAATTGTTCAATTTCCTACAACAACAACAACAACAACGCTAAACACACAATGTACGGGACTAGAATAATGATTCCAACCTATTCAATGGAAAAGACTGGTTTGATGATGACTTTGATGTTTGTTGTAACAAGAAAAACTTGTTGTTGTTGTGAGAATTGTCTTATTTTTTACAATTCGGTAACAACGGTTTTCGACAAAATTATACGCAATTAATCAAACAACATTTTTGGTGTATTTACTAATCCAGAGATGATGATGAAAAACTTGGACGATGAATAGCACAGTTTTGGATGGCATCTGTCAATAGTACTATCCAAAGATAACCGGCACTTCCAAAGAATCTTGTTGTTGAAATGTTGTTCCATCATGATGGCTAAAATATTTTAATATATTGAAGAAAAGATATTCAATTCTTGAAGAAATCCAATAATGAATGAATTACTTGAAATCCAATAATTCAATTTCAAAATTCAATGTAGAGTTTGGTGGAATGGATCCGACACTTCGTGCTCCATATGCATACTCCGAGTCAATCTCAAAGAGAGCCTTCTCTCCGACCTTCATACTCGCGACTGCTAATTCCCAACCACGAATCACTTCACCCCTTCCGAGTACAAATGAGAAGGGCATGTTTCGGTCTCGGGAACTATCGAATTTCTTGCCATTACTTTTGAGAGTTCCAATGTAATGGACTTCTACTATTGATCCATTGGTTGGAGCCTTTGCTTCTTCTCCTTCTGCTTGTTTAACCAGTTGCTTTTTGACTTTTGAATCGGGAGTGAGCGCTTGCCATTTGGCTGCTTTGGCTTGTTTCTTTTTCAGCTTGGTTTCGTTCTTCTTGATCAAATCTTGCATGAATTTCATTTCATCCTCTTCGGAGGTGGACTTTTTGGTTTTATTGTTGCTGGGCATGGTTGATGAGAGATCTGGCTTGGAGTGAATCAGTGAATATATAGAATTGCTTGCAAGACTCAAGCTTGGTGATGATGGCTGTTGTTGTTATTTTTTTCGAATTGAATTCATTTTTCCACAACACTTTTGCTGCATGTCATTATCCACCGTACATGGAGGAAACAACATTTGTCACGTACTCTTCGTAGGAACCAATGAGGTGCATAATGAAGAAACCTGCCAAAACACCACTCACGGCATAGATAAACTTTCGAGTGAATTGAGATTTTGGATAAGATTCTTTTCCTTTTCTTTCTGGATCACTTGGGTGGTGAGTGATGGTCAAGCTGGTGATGAATTCTTCGTTGTTAATGTTCTGACTATCACTTTGAACGAGTTCTTCCAACACGATTGGAATCATTGAGGTGGCAATGTACAAAAAACTACCTGCACTCATGGCAATCAAATGGTTCTTGTTCATAAATAAAAATTGAAATCCATGATCTGAGGTGAGTAAAAGTCCAAAAATACATCCCACCACACTTAGTACTCCACTAAGGAAATTGAAAAATAGTGCATTCTTCACACTAAATCCAGCGCTTAATAAGATGCCATAATCCGATAATTCTTGTGGAATCTCGTGCATGCAAATGCACAAAACATTTGCAACTCCGACGGGAATTGATACTTGAAATGCTCCTGCAATACCAGCTCCATCCATAAAGTTATGAATTGCATCTCCAATCAAGTTGAGCCAACCCACAGCCTTAATATGATGGTGATGATGATGGTGTGACACAGTTTTTGATCGATTTCCAATATTATTATGGTCGTTGTGATGATCATCTTCATCAGAATTGAGTTGACTTCTTGCAAATTCAGCATTTCTTTCCTCTCTTTGTTGTTTCACTCTCAAATAAACTTCAATCAGTAAGCATCCAAGAAAAGCCAACAATATGACAAAGGATGAAGAGTTATTTCCATGACTGTGTTGATGTGAACCATGATGATCATGCTCCTCTTCATCGTCATGACTCGAAGCATACAAAATTGGAATCAAATGCAAAAAACAATCTCCCAACAATGACCCAATGGCCACACAGCTCAAAATAAATTGTAAATTGTTCCCAGTCGGTGATGATAACGATGGACTAGTTTCTGCCTGTTCTCTACTTTCCGTATTGTTGGTCTTTCCTGTTGGTGTTGTTAATACGGATGAATGCTGTCGGTTGTTATTGCCTGAACATCCATAAAACAAAAGGCTTGCTCCAATAAGAGAGAGCAATGAGACTCCAAACGAGCTTGCCAATGAATAAATCCATACAGAGAGAGTAGAAGGCTTTGAAGAGTCTGTTCCTTTCACTGATGTTGTTGTGGTTGTTGGAGAATGAATGGATGAAAGTTTTCTATGATGATGAGAATGATCTTCTTCTTCTTCATGATGATGATGATCGGAATGATGATGATGAGAATGATCTGCTCCGCCATGAGCATGTATCATGATGGTTGCGGATTCTTCTTGAACCACCAAGTATGGAATGAACAGCAACAACAATAATATTGAAACGATGATGAGTAATATCATCCAAAATCTCCTCCCTGTTGCCACTTGTCGCTTCATTTTGTTTTAAATCGAAAATCAAATTAACCATCAAGCTAAAAGTACAAACAAATGTTGTTTTTATTTTACACAACACACGATAGAACTCCAATCTCAAGAGAGATTTGCATCCAATCCACCCAAGTTGAATTCATTCAAATAGAATTCAATGATTGTATATATTCTTGAACAATTTAAATTGAATTTTAATTTCAATAAATAAAAATGGCTCGTTCATCACCATCCTCGCCGGGGCACACTCCTTGTGGTGCACATGATGGCTGTTGTGGATATGGAACCCTATGCAAATGGGGAAAAATCAAAAAACCAAATGATATTCGATTGGATTATTTGAAAGTGAATTCTGAGGTTCCGATACCGCATTACATGTTTTGGCCTGGAAATAATCCGATTGGATGTTCTGGAAAAATTATGAATGGGTATGTAATTGTAAATGCTTTTTCAAATAGAACCAAAATTTTGATTTTTGTTTCGATCATTTATAATAATTTAATGGGAATTATTTTGGATCATGATTTTATTTCATTGTTGTTAAATGAATAATTCATACTGCGGCAAAAAAGACGTGACAGAGTCAATTATGCAGTATCGTGGGTATTAATTCTAGTGCCTGCTTTGGCATTCTTTGGATTTGTGTACGTATTCAACATGTATTGTTAAATGAGATCATTTTTGATGATGATCAATATGAACAATGAAAATTCTGGGAATGTCACATTGACGCTGAAAATGGTCATATCGATACTAAAATATGCAACCAATAATATTAATTAATATCGATATTATATTAATAGCTGTACGGACTACTTTCGATTTATTAGTATATTCGCAGGAATACCCATCACCCTTATTGGACTTTTATTGTTCTCTGTCATTCTCTATACTTTAATTATGGTTGGATCCATTGATCCTGGATATTTACCAAAATCTAGTGCAATTTATCAACAAAAATTCAATAGTGACAAGAAACTATTGAAACGTTTGCAAAAGAAAATTGGACATGCATCAGAGAATGATAAAACAGAAAATTGTTCGCCTGTTGCAAGTCATCCTTATGAAATTGATGACAATGATGACACTGATAAGGATGTAGATAGTGACGACGATGATGACAACGTGGAAAATCAAGCTGATCACAACGATCCACTTGGCGGTGGAAGCAATCAACAACTAAGAAGGAAGGAAACCCCTTCTCATGACTTTTCAGGAATACCGCCTTTTAAAATCTTTCACTATAATGGATGTCAGATTAAGCTGAAATTTTGTAAAACTTGTGGAATTTATCGATTACCAAGAACAAGTCATTGCCGTCAATGCAACAGTTGTGTGGAACGATTCGATCATCATTGCCCATGTAAGTTCATCATTTGTTGAAATAGATTTGTCTCCTTATGAAACACCTTGACATTTTCGTCAACGATTCATTTTGGTAATTGACAGGGACGGGAACATGCATTGGAAAAAGAAATTACAAATACTTTTATTGGTTTTTAGTTTCTCTCACATCAGGAATTATTTATGCAGGTCTTTGTGGCTTGATTGAAATTATTGTATTTGTTTATTTGGCAACAACAGATAATCCTAATAATCCTTCTGGTTACCACAATGATAGTGTACAAACAGCAATATTGCATTGTTTGATGTCATCACCAATATCGTAAGTATCATTGAGGAATGATTGCACTTGAATTGAGGCACTTTCATTTTTGTATGTTATAATTTTACACACTCACTTTTGATACGCTCAGATTTATCATCACATTATTTTCAGCAGTTATGTGTCTCTCAACAGGTTCACTTGCAGTATTTCACACTTTTCTTGTCTTTTCCAATTTGACCACCTATGAAAATGTAAGTTATTTTCTTTTTACAGAAAATTCAAGAACATTGTTGTGATATCAATTGTTTGATGACTGATGGCTGCATATCTCTCTGAAATATATATACCATTGGACAATATTATAAACTCTATCCAATATAGATCAACAGAACCTATTACAAATCAGGAAATCCTTTCAGTAAGGGACTTTTCGGAAATATTAAGGAAGTTCTCTTCTACAAGATGCCTCCAAGTCAAATTTCCTTACAAAAACACTATTCTCGTAATGAAATTGAATCTAAGCTTCACAACGAGCTCATTGGGGTAAGTGTTTTTTGAGTGTGGAAATCTTGAATTTAAATTGACCACCCTTCATTGGACGACATGATGAATTCATCAAATAATATATATGAATCATATATGGATTCATATATGGATCCATTCGTTTCTTCTTCTCCTATTTTTGCATCATATATATTATATTATACACATATGGATGCCTGCAGGAACCTTCTCGAGAATTAATGGAATTGCAAACACCAGTGGCAACCGATCTAGAAAATAACATGCCAAGAAACACACCCGAAGTGTCTTCTGCCACCATCATTACCTTTCAAGGAGAGGTCAATGATACCACCTCTCTCAGTGGGAATTATCCATTCTATTACTCTTCTGGTAGAAACTTGAGAGATCAATAAAGAGAATTGAATTCTTTGTAGTGATGTGAAAGAATCATAGCAGGTTTTGAACAGTGTTCCAACCTGTCCTACATTTATTAAGATCTCTTCAGTTTACGATATGCAAGTCGAGATCATACTTCTGTTTTTTCTCCTTCTTTATTGGAAGCCACAAATGTTCTGTAGAAGAAAACAGATTATTTAATCTTCGACATGTGCGTCACTTTTCCCATACACATCTTGATTAGATTTGATCGACTATGTAACTCTGCATTTACCACAAACTGCCCCTTGATGTGTAAACAAACACCCTCTTGCTCTTATTTAATAAACCTTGCCTCCTAAAACCAATAATGTATAAAGACATGTGAGGTCATCATCTTTTCCAATGTTGATGCAAATTTTTTAAAATTTTTATTGAAAAAAATTTGCTCAACCAATTTGGAAATTAACAAAACAAAATTAAACAGAAAATTATAAAATTCCATCTTACCTCTCCAAACAATTCGTTGGGTTAAATGGAATATTTGTCTTCCTTGCTTAATACTCGCAACCAATTAAAGTAACTCATGGTTGAAAATGACAAACTTTATGAGAATCGATTATTACTTTTACAGCTGTTCAACATTGAAACGTCCAAGAGTTCAAGGATCAGAAATCGCACAATCATTCTAAAATAGAACTACCCCTTAGTGACCATGTTTGGAGTGTTCCTACCCATGAACCGTTTTTTTCGTCTTCCCGAAAAAAAAGCCTCAACACCCTATTACGAATTTTGAATCCGGAATGGCTCCCTCCACACCTCCATTGAGCAGCAGCGGATCATGTGCTTCCGCTTCTTCTTCATCCTCCTCGCCCTCATCAAACACAATCAATCATCAACAACAATCCTGTGCATCTACGCACTGTCCCACCAAGCAATTCATCTTTCATGCCATTGATCCCTGTGCACAAGAGGTGAAACGAAAGAAGGATCGTGAATTTATGGCCTCTCAAATGTTTCATGGTTTGATCTTTCGACCCAGCAAGTATATGGGCATGTTGAAAATCAAATCATCGACAACCAACGGTTCTTCCAATAATTTAAATACCGCACTTGAAAGACAAAGCCATGAAACTCGTGCGGTTGAGACATGTGCCAATAATTATGACCTCAATTGTGGAGTGAGAAGTGAGAGCTCATTTGCATGTAACATGCTGTACAATCTCCAGTGTGGAATAGACAATGGGTGTTGCAATTCTCGGTTATCCTGTCTCAACTCTTCGCCTTACCAGATTGCACATGCATGTGCATCCTTACCAATTCTCTCTCCTCTCAACACCACAAGAACTCCCTCTCGGTCCATCCACCATCAAGCCACCAAGAAACCTCACTCCATAGAGAAAACGTACCACATGAAGTCAATTTTAACGCAGACTTCAAAATCCACTCCATGTCTTGCCTTGTCCATGCATCACAACCCTCTTCCAACAGAAGCATCTTCCAATACTCTCTCAGTGACAAGAAAAATCAGAACATCTATTTCAATTAGCGAATTATTAAATTAAACTGTTATTATGTGTGTGTTCAATAAATAAATCTAGATGAATTTTCATATAAACCAATGAATATGAGCATATTCACAAAAGTAATGCTCGAGTTATTGGTGGTAAAAACTCGATCGCAATGTTGTACAACATGTTCACCTCATTCAATACTAAATTGAGCCTTATGAGTTTGTTTTTGTTCCTCAATCAAGTCAATCACAGACTTGACATCTGTCGAGTAGTCCAGGAGAGCTCCTTGAACAGATTCTTCCTTCGCTGTAATGATATCTGCTAGAAGCTTTCCTTCTTTTTGATCTTCAAGTGTGACACGGTTGGTTGGAATTTCCGTCTCGACAGAACCGTACCAAACACTAGAAATTTTGTCGTGAGGAATCCAATAAATACGATAACCTAAACCAAGCGGCCAGGGTTCAATAATAACCACACGACTACTCGTGATCATGTAATGCAAGCCATTGTAAATTGGAATTGTTGTAGTGAGGGTGGCATGAATCAAATATAGACTAGCAATGATTCCAATTTCCCAGAAAAATACAGCTAAAAGTACCCTCTGCACAGCAAAAAGGAAAATTAAGGAAACTATGAGCAGAATTATACACAAGGAAATGGTCAAAAACCACCAAATTTTCAAATTACGGAGGGTAGTCTTTTTTGCATTTTTCATGTGATCTGTCGAAGTACGTTCATAGTACAATAAGGTTTCATGCTCCTGAATGGCAGTGCATCTTAACAAAATGAATACTGGGTGCTCCTTGTCTGAATGTTCATATGCATTGGGTAGATCGAGAGCCATTTCTTGAAGTTGGGTGGATGGCTCGTGCTGTTGTTCTGCGTCTTCTGTGCCACGATGTTCAGCCGTCGAACGCTTGTCCAAATGTAGGAACACTTCTTTGTGACGTTCGGTAGCATCTTGCAAGACAATTTGTAAATTTGGACTCTCTTCCAACCTATATGTTGAAATTTCTCCATTCAATCTGAAGGGATCAGGAAAAACTTGTTTGAAAAATCGATCGATGGAAAATCTAGATCTACCATCCAAGTATTTGAATCCATACACCACATAGCACACGATACAGAACATTATGAAAGCAATTCCCAATGGAATAATCCATGCAAGTTCCGAAGTAAATATGCTCCACAATTCTGTAGTAATTTGAATTTCTGATTTACCATCAACAATCTGCTTCTTCTCTGCAAAAACTCTATCCACATTACTCTCAATGGCAAAACATGGGAAATCATCATCCATATTACCATCTCCGACATGATCATGAAGACAACTTTTTGCGCTCTCTTCCGAAGAGGATTTACAAAACTCTCTCCAAATGACACTCTGAAACAGAACTGCCTTATCGTTGGACAATGTTACGTTAAGATTATAGTAAAAATCGGAACCCTGATGAATCAATATAATATCATCACCACTCCTGTCTGTATTTCTCTTACACTCATAAGCCTTATAATACAATACTCCAGAAGCCTCCAAATCCAAAAACAATCCAACCAAGAATATATTCATCACCAGCAATGAGAAGAATAATAACGTCCATATTATTCTCGGAATTTTACTATACGATTTTGAAGAGAGGTATGATGTGGCCGTTAACGATTGTGTATTTACATCAGCCCATCCACTCAAACACGGAATGGAAACGAGGAAGGATTTAATGATGGAAAGTAAGCGAGACATTTTTTGCTCTTTTTGAAAACAATCGCTTCATCATTATCGTGTAAGCGATTCATTTCTCATTTACCGAATTTCTAATTGAATTCAAAGAATCAAGAGGAATTAGAAATGAATTTTACACCACCAATTGAAAGTCCACACTCTGTTCACACGAGCGACTTGAAATTGTCACTAAAACAAAATAATCTAACAACTCTGTGTAAAATTAAATATTTCAGTTATTACAATACTCACTCCTTCCAAATCAGAAAAACCACATCATAATAGAACCAATCCTTTCAATGTTTTATTGTCGTTAAGGAGTGGCCATCTTTTGTTTCTTGGCTCGTTTCAATTGCTTGACAAACAAATTGGTCGAACAACAACAGAACCAACACACACAACAAAATCCAATGGCTCCACAAATGAGTACAGTCAAAATGCACAGGAAAAACATGAGTACCACAATCGCTGAAGGAATAAAATTGAATTGAGTAGTCAGTGAGTTCATGAAATTACTGGATAATCCGGGCATGATTCTTTCAAACAAAACTTTTGTGGTATAACCTTCGAGTCCACCTCGCAGCATTAGTAACATGATAAAAATTAATCCAATAATTAAGGTAATCATTGCAACTATGAATCGATTCTTAGTTTCCACTTTGGACAAGGTATTGTCACACATGGCGGATGTGGCCATCAAAGACGAAACCACACAACACATGATCACAGCAGCAAATGTTGCAATCTGAGCAACCAGAACCATTGAAAATATGGAAGAATCTTCCGATGTTGAAGTTGGATCCAAATTATGTGTTGAAATGTACTGAAATACAATAATTGCAATCAGTTCAATGATGGAAAAGAAACATAAAAAGCAAAGCATTGGACAAATGCAGAAAAATCCACAACATCCCCAAATTGTTTTTGATAAGGTTGATTTTTCTTGAATTTTTCTTGGAGTACTAGAGGCGAGTTTGTCTGGAATTTGTTCCGAGTTCAAGTTATTAATATTCATTGCGTCTCTGCCTGTTCCCACTGGAGAATTGACAAAATGGTGATGAAAATTAGGAATAGGTGTCACGGCAGGAGGTGGAGAGAAGTCTGTTTTAATGTCACTCTCAACAATGGACTGATTTCGATCGCTTGAAGAGATAGATGCTTGTAATATGTTTTGTGTGGCTGTTGTAGAGGTTTCGTCGAACTTGGATTGCGAATAGGAAGGTGGTCTCACTTTTGCTTCAACAAGAGATGGAGATGGAACATGGACTGAATTTCGATTTGATAAATGACTTCTGATATCCTCTTGAGGTGAGTGTGTTCTCAAAGGCTCCAAAATGTCCCCTGCAATTTGCCATGAATGTCGATTATTCGATGGAGGTGACGATGAGGTTGGAATTGCAACAGAATTTCTATTCAGAAGAGGGTGAGCTTGAATTTGACATTGCTATCGAATTGGGAGGAATGACCATGGAATTTCTATTAGAAGATACAGAACCTCGTGGTGGACCAGTTACGGGAACACCTCCACCGGAACTTATTGGACTAAGGGATGGACTTGTGGCTATTCCAACGGATTGACCCACTGGCATGGAAACCATTTCAATGGCAGTTGGCATGCCACTGGTCAAGATCGAAGGAGGTGTGTAAGGTGGTGATTGACTCAGTGGAGGAGGCATCGCCATGTTATTGACCGCCGATGGTTTGAGGTCTTGAGGTGTCAAAGTGGTCGAGAGACGAGTCGAATTTCGATGCGAAGAAGCAGCCACATCATAAGAAGGTGGAGATGGATGAGACATGAGTGTTTGGGCCACGTGCTTATTTGAACTAGTTTGTTGTTGACCGAATTTGGTAATTTTTAAATGAATGACAAGAAGGGTTTGAATGTGGATTCGAAAGAGATCTTCGATGAAATAATGAATGACGGAACTGTTCGAAGAAAGCAGAGGTGATGATGTATTGAGTCGTTGAAAGAAGCGGATATGTTTTGCTGTTGTTGTTCCGATTGCAAATTTCTTGTGAGAAATATTGAGCAGTGAATTTTTGTTGCTTCAAGAAAGTGCTGTGGCTGTACTCTCTACGCTTGTGTTTCTTGTTGTTTCGATTCACGCTTATTAGAAACGTGTGTGGCTATTTTCTTGTTGTATTAAAAAGTACAATTTCCAGTGAGAAAGGTCAACGAGTTGATGTTTTTTTTTGAAGACGCCTGACATGTTGATGGCAAAGGGTTTATTGGAAGACCACAATTTACAATTCCTTTTATCTCGTGAGCGGGCGCCAATCTCTCGTTGTACTTGTTACATCTTCCCAGCGCAACCACTGTTCATCACCAGTAAAGAATCAAAATTGTTCTTTGTTTGGTCAAACGTATGACAAGGCCATTCCAAGTTGTACCATAGCTAACAAACAGAAAACAATGAGAAGGGAAAAGAGTTCCAATTCAATCATACTAGATTCACTTCCCCATAGGATGCATCTCTTTCACGGGGAGGAGTTTCTTTACTTTTGTTGATTGCAAGTATAGGCATTTTCTTCAATGAGTTTGTCTAATTCTTGTTGTATGAGTTCTGTTTGGTTTTCTTCCACAAAGATGTGTGTTTCATCAAGATCAAATAATACAATTCCTGAATGATGATGTATTGAGAGAACATTTTGACGATGATATTCGGAAGAATATAAAGAGTAGAAACGATCATTTCATCAATAAAATCATCGCAACCATCATCATGATTCAAAAAGCCATCGGATGAGTTAAAAAGAATATTGTCTTCTCCAATTCACCACTTACTATTGCCATGCTTTTTATTCAAAAACAAAATAAATTGCTTGATGGCAGGATCACATTCAATCAACACTCCACCAATAGCATTCACCATGATTGAATTTTTTTTTGAATTTTTTTAAAAACTTCGAAGATTTGGCTTACAGAGTGTTCATCATGAAAGAACCTTAAATCTCAAGTCGAATCATATTTATATATGTACATCAAAAACAGATTTGTTACAATTCATCATTGTTTCATCTCCAAATTGCATTTGTTCTTCCTTGGTTGCACGTCCACCGCGCTGAAAGCATGTTTTTTTTCGCTTCAATTTACTTTGGAGTATCTGTCAAATAAATTGATGATGTTTCAGAGGAGGCAGACATCTTCTTGGATTGCAATGCAGGGAAGAACTTTGAATGAATGACACTTGGAATTTTCCATTTCAATTTTCTGGAAACATCACTTGTGACAAGGAAATAAGGATCTTGATCAATGGCACATGGAATTAAACAAGCAACACCATACTTTCCAAATTTATCTTCTGGGAAGATGTGAGGAAAAGACCATTGATCGAAGGATGGAGCTTGAATAGCTGGGAATGACATATCCCCAATATTATTGCTGTCACACACACCAAACACACCCTTCACTTGACTTGTGGTCACTTCTTTTTGGATTTTACAAACCACTGGATACAAATGTGACACGTAGTCGAGATTGGAAAAAATAAAGGTCTTTTCCTTGTCAAAACCACAGGCAATAATATCTCTTCCATTCTCATAGGATAAACGATAAGGTTCTTTCAATTCCAAATCTTTCCACAAAAACTTTTCATGAAGATCGTGTTCACATTCCAAAAGAAATGAAAATGGATTCTGTCCACGGTTATGGAGCGAGTTGGCAAGACAAAGAAGAAACAATGGATGAAGCAATGTCACCCCAAATGAAAAAGCTCTCTGAAAGATATCACTCAGAATCAGCATTTCCAAAAAGAAAAGAAGGCTTGTAATTTTATTCGCCATGTGTTACAGACACGTTCCACAAATTTCACATCTTTCAAAATACATTGATAGCCTTCTTTCATTGGAGGAACAATTGTTGTTGTGGAGAAATAGAAAACAATATAGGATCCAAGATTGGAACAGGAGGACTTGGTTCGAAATATCTCAATGACACTTTGGGAATGAGTTGTCTCTCAATTCGGGAAGAGGCAAGCAAGATACGATCGAAGGGCCATTTCGCTATTGTTGAGTGTTGATCGGATCATCTTCTTGTTGTAAATGTAAATAACCGTTGTTGGAATGAACCTAACAAATGTAAACAAATAGTTGAAAGCAAGTATTCTTTCACTTTTAAGTATATAGAAAAAACACAATGAACTCTTATTTATAAAATTCAATTATGCCAAAGTTGATAAAAGTTTTGTGAACCTTGACACTGAACAGCTTTAAGAGTCGTTGAATGATCGATTTGAAGTCCTGAATTAGTTATTGCTGAACGGAGGTTCCAGCATTTCCATCCACTGAAAAGCACTATAAAGTTGTTGTTTTGCGTGTAATAATAGGATGATGTGTATAAAAGGAGGCATACGGTTGTGTTTGCTGGAACTGCTACATTTGTGGAAGTCGAAAGATTTTCATTCGCATTTGTATTCGACCACAAATTTTTCCATGAAACCGACGAGACACGCAGTCTATTGTTGTCATCCGCATTAGGAGTTCCAATAAATACACTCGCTCCTTCATATCCAGAACTCCATCCAGATGTTCCTCCAAAGTAGAATGTAAAAGTTCTTTGCTGTGCAGTGGAGTTTTTGATGAAAAACATTCCAAGCATTGCCCTTGGATATTGATAATAATTCGAACTATTGTATACCACATGTTGTTCCTTATATAAAAAAGTTCCAGCACTTCCTTGCAAAAAGTGAATGCTAGGTGGAGTGTTGAAATTAATGTACTGATTGTTGAATGAATGTGTTCCACAAATAATATTCGCCATTTGATCTGCACCACTATTGTACCATTGTCCCAGTTGGCTTGTCAGATTAGCACTGTCACTTTGACAATCTTCACTTCTTGACAGTACGCCGAATACAAAAGGCATTGAATCAGGTTGTAAGGAGGTGTCAACTTGCTTTGACAAAGATGTGTTTGGTTGCTTTCTTTGTCCTTGAGATTCCAGGGCCTTCTTTTTCCAATATTCATTCTCCTCCATCAAGACAGCAATTTTACTGGACATGGATTCGACAAGCTTTCTAATTCTGGCCTCCATCATGACCAAATCTTTGTGTTGACTGGAACTTTCTGATACATCGTTAACACCTTTCTCCACAATATCCTGCTGCAAAATCAAGAAGAACCAATAGTTTTCTTCATTCAGACTGTCATAGCACTCAAACTTCAAATACAAGAGTGCTTAGGGTTGGAGTAGTCTCTGGAGAGACTTCCTTCTTTGTGAAGAGAGGAAAATTTGGTTGAATATGAAAACGTGTTATTGTTTTTTGGGCTGAAAAACATAAACCCGAGTTGTTGATGGCTGGATGGGTCAGAAGGTTTGGTGAGCAAGTTCTTGCAGGAATTGAAAATAACTTTCATGGATTTTCCTTCCATATTATAAGATTCACACATCTCTAAAACTTGGTTCACACTTTTGGTTCTGACAAAGAACATCTTTCCTTCTTCCTTGTTGAGCAAGGTGAGAGCGAGACCTTGTTCTGGAGAGAAAGAGCACTCTACTTTGAAGATGAGACCTTCATCCAGAGCGATGAGTGATTCGAAGGTTTGTATGGGTGGGATGCTGACCATTTTTTTTAACGTGATC